CAACAGACTAATGATAATTCTAACAATGAATTATTCTGATTTACTTCAACAAACAAAAGAAAAAGATACATATACAATTATTTCTGGATTATCTGCAAGTATGACAGTTAATAGTAGGAAAAAATAAAAGCCCCAAACAATCCTAATATTGGTAAATCCCATAAACTCAACACTATAAAGAATTTTAATCTTCTGAATGAACCAACTAAATAGAAAAATTCTAAAAAGCATCTTCCAGACTGGTTTTATGTGTATTACTTGAGTTTAGCAGAAAAATATTTGTACAGTTACTAAAATAATGCACTGACAAAAACAAAAGGGAAGCAAAATTCTGAATTCCATAAATATAAAGAATCTTAGGAATTTATGACTTTTAAATACCCCAAAAAAAACTATAGCTCAGAAAGTTTTGCAAAGCACTGAAAGTGCTTCAACTATAATTGAAGACTGCTGTTCAGCATATACATCATCATTAAGGTATCAGTTGCCTAGAATACTAAAGCACGCCACCAAAAGTTTACTGAGGTGCCTCCTGCACAAGGATACATCTGATAGTACCTTAAGAAACATGATTCACAATGGGCAAAGAGAATTCTTGCAGAAGCTGATATGCTAGTACCTTTTATTCAAAATGTTACCCTATATGGCCTGTAATATTTGATAAAGGCTTAGAATTTTCTATGGATTTCTCTTTCCTTTGTCCATTTCAAAAAACCCAGAATACTATCTTGACTTCAACTGTAGTTATTTCCCAATTTCACCTTTGTGAGCAAAAGACAGAACAAAGGCTCTATAAAACCTACAGGGAACAGTAATTTTTCCCATCTTTCAAAAAAAATGTTTTGGAAATATCACAGATTCCAAAGATATTCTTCTGCTTCTTACATGTAACTCTCAATATTCAGGTTATCAATTACATCTACAATCAAACTCCTATTATACAAAGGATCTTACTGTTACCACTCACAACTTTTCAATTCTTTTTTTTTTTTAAAGATGTATTTATATATGCATACAGAACTGGGGTACAAGCCAGAGGTACAGAGGCAGTGAAAGGATCCACCAGAGACAGAGTCGGGAGCAGAACAGGCAGATCAATGAAGCACACTGCTTAGGGGAGCAGCGGGTGGGTCAGGAGAGGTCTGTTGCATCATGTGATCACCTCGGGCAGGGATTGAACAGGCACTGACTTGGCTGTGACTTGGCTGTGGCTGGCTTGCAGTGCTGTGTCCTTACCCACTATGCCAAAAGGGAGGGCTAACTTTTCAATTCTTAACCTATGACATATTGCATGGATGAATTCTGGGTAATTATCATATATATTTTGGAAGCTCAGTAGAATTACATCACCATACATTTCAGACTGTAACACCATAAAATAAATCAGGCCCAATAAATGAAATGCATGCAACTAATAATTTAGCATGTAAAGTAGATTTGGTTTTGGTTTGAGTGTAAGATTATAAAGTGACTACAGAGTATTTAAGAATTTTGCTTCTAAATTTGACAAGGAACATCACACTCTCTCTTATTGGCCTACCCAACTATTTTTGGTTGTCTCCTTTATATTTAATTTGTTTCTAAGAACAAACATACCCTTTTCAATAATAATTGGCTGCTTAAGTATTATGAGACCATCTTTAAATATATTCTTTATTATTTCCAGTAGAGACCTCATCTCTGTCAAGCATATCTTTCTGTACTTTAAAAATACTCATTTTCACAAAGTCTAGAATAGTTCAGTTGTTAATCATTAACAATAATTTATTTGTAGCCTATGTCATTTTTGTCATATGTGATAAGACTTGAGAAAAATATTTGAACTTATGTTATTCTAACTGGTATATGTTACTCACAGGATTTTTTTTTATAATTAACAACTTTCTAAAAATGTTGAAGTGAATCATAAAAACCCCTTGTTCAACACTTCATTTTTTTTAAATGGGACCAACTGCTCATTAACTACTAGGACACAAAATAAAAGTCAGGTCCCTTACACTTATAACTACAAGTGAGGCTGGGAATACAAACATGTAAGTGAAAATTGTAATACAGCGTAATACATCTCCTGATACAGGTAACAATGAGAACCTACAAAAAAAAACTACTAGCATTGAACCAATTCTTCCATTCCACAAATTTAAATTAAATGGACCTTAAGGAAAAATGGATGTTGTGAGGCAAAGAATCAAATGTAGAGGGAGATGAAGGGGACACCTTCCAGGTAGTTAAAACAAGATGTGCGAAAGAAAAAAATCATAAAAGGGAATGAAGTATTTATGAAAAGGTGACGTTTCATGCAATGGAAGTGGCATCATCACTGTCAGGGAAGGAAATGACTCTTCACTTCCATGTCATAATGAATAGAATAGCTTTTTCTTTTTCCATATATTATCTCAAAAAATTGTTTTAAAGATTTATTTATTTGTGCATACAGAACTGGGGTACAGGCCAGAGGTACAGGGGCAGTGAGAGGCTTCACCAGTGACAGAGTGGGGAGCAGAACAGGCATATCGATGAAGTACACTGCTGAGGGGAGCAGTGGGCAGGTCAGGAGAGGTCTGCCACCATGTGGATCACCTCCAGGGCAGGCGGGGATCGAACTCATGCTAAAGTGGCTTTAGCTTCTTAATGCTGTGCTTTAATCCGCTGCGCCACCAGGGAGGGCCTCAAATGTTTTTTTAAGTTCAGGAAGTTTACATAGAGATTGCTAATGTTAATTTATTTCTTTCTTTACTATATTCTGTCATACATTCTCATATAAAGTGACTAGTCAAATGTAAAAAGGAATTATTTCCCACAATTCCCCAGTAGTATAAATTTACTAGATCAACTATAATACAACAGAAATAGTTTGGAGAATGCATTTTCATAGAAAACAAGGCCCCTTGATTTCCACATTATTTTATCTGAGTAATTCAAAGTGTAATTAAATATATACCAAGTTTAAGCTGCCACTCTAGAGAATGTTTTAGATAAATTAAGCAACAGCTGGCCCTCCCTGGTGGCACAGCAGGTTAAAGCACAGCACTAAGAAGCTTAAGCCACTTCTGCATGTGTTCGATCCCCGCCTGCCCTGAGGAGATCCACATGGCAAGGCAGACCTCTCCTGACCCACCTGCTGCTCCCCTCAGCAGTGTACTTTGCCAATCTGCCTGTTCTACCCCCTACTCTGTCTCTGGTGAATCCTCTCAGCCTCCACATCTCTGGCCTGTACCCCAGTTCTGTATGAATAAATAAATAAATCTTTAAAAAAAATTAAGCAACCGCCTTTAGCCACATTTTTGGAAAATGAAGAAAGTATGCTAGAGATATCTATATATGCTAGAGAATGTATGTTAGAGAAACACAGGTTGTTACCAACTCTAAGATAAAAGAATTTTGATATGCTTAATGTTTGTATCTCCTGACTACAGAGCAATTCTATGAAAAGAGACAAAGGTCTCTAATCAAAACATAAACAAGTGAAGTTGAGGTAGCCAAACTAATCACCCCATAGTACCCTAGACTTTTTGTGTAATTGCCAAGTTCTAATTGATTACTCCTGATATATAAATAACGTCTCTGTCCCATTCTTTCAGCACTTCCCTCAGCTCCATACAGCATTATAATGTTAGGCTTCTCAGAAACAAAGCTTACAGGCTAAAATTAGGCAGGAAATGAAATATCATTGTTGGATAAGGTAGTTACATCTTGATTAACAACAATATATCAATAATGTTAACAGTCATTCTCTCCAAGACATTGTTGTTTAAAGTACATTTCTAATTTTTGTTATTTTAAAATGTATACAGAAGTATCCTGATTGACAAGATATCAAAAAAATGTTAGTAGCTATTGTCTTTGCACAGCTCATTTACAATTAATTTTAATGTTTCTAATTTTTCTATAATGATAGCTTCAAACTTTATTTTATTAATTAGCATGGATAATTAGATAATAACTAAATAATCAGCCAATTACTTAATTAGGCAGAATAGCTGTGGGAGCCCTGGGAGAAAGCAAATGGCAATCATTCCTTTTTAGTATAGGTCATTTGTAAAAAGGAACTGTCTTCAGTAGATAGTGAGATAATGATAACTTTATTATGCTTCTAAGCCTGATAGTCTTCAGTATTTAGTTTCAAGTCTTACTAAAATTTTTACTTAAATAGCCTATTTTATAAAGCCATAAAACCCTAAAAAGGAATAACAAACATTTGAATACATAGATACATCATTCTGGACTAAAATTAATACATTCAAGAGAGGAATTTATTGCTTGCATTTCTTTTTATAATGTTTATTCTAGACCATTAATGTATTAATGGTTATGTTCACAGAGAAACAGTTTTTTTTTTTTAAAGATTTATTTATTTTTGCATACAAAACTGGGGTACAGGTTAGGGGTACAGGGGCGGTAAGAGGATTCACCACAGACAGACTGGGGAGCAGAACAGGCCGACTGACAAAGTACACTGCTGAGGGGAGCAGCGGGCGGGTCAGGAGAGGTCTGCGGTGCTATGTGGATCACCTCCGGGGCAGGCGGGGATTGAATTCATGCTGGAGTGGCTTTAGCTGCTTAGTGCTGTGCTTTAACCTGCTGCGCCACCAGAGAGGGCCCAAGAAATAGTTTTAATGAAACTATATGTGAGAACTTTTGCCCAAGGAAATAGTCCCAAAAAGTACCCTAAATCAAACTACACTTCTAGTGATTCTGAGATAAGGATTGAAATGACTACACTCCAAACTCAAGACAAATATTGATCAAAAAAGAAACTCAAAGAAAATGTGTACACACTCACTCACATACTCACAGTAATAAAACACAAATAATGCTGAAAAAATTAATGCAAAGTTGTGTTTCACCTGTTCAGGGGATAGGTTACAATATCCACTTACTATATTTTGTATTCTAGGCTACCTAAAAGAAGATAGTAATCTTAGCCTTAGAAAAGGCTGCCAGCTTTTCGTCTTTCTAGTGATCATTTACAACATCAGAGGTCCCACCTTCTTGGTGTCATGGAGAAAGTCCAGTACCTCACTCGCTCTGCTATAAGAAGAGCATCAACTATTGAAATGCCTCAGCAAGCACGTCAAAATCTCCAGAACTTATTTGTCAATTTCTGTCTCATCTTAATATGCCTCTTGCTGATCTGCATCATCGTGATGCTTCTCTGAAGCTCTGCTGCAACTGATCACCATCAACTTAGTATCTGTCAGCCATGAAGAAGGGGAGAGCATGCTATTACACAGACCACTTCCAAGCAAAACAATGTCCTTGTGAAAAGATCATTTGCGGAACAAAAATTATTACCAAATATGTTTATCTGCTGGATCTTTTAAACATGAAATGGTTTTATTTTTTAAAATTAACTTTAAAATGACTCTAATATGTGTGTATGATGTAACTTGTTGAGATTGTAAGTTTCCATCCAAAATCTATTCTGAAGATGAACTAGAGATTTAGTTTTCAAACTTTATTACTAACAAGTTCACTTCATATATAAAGCATTAGCATCGCCCCCAGGGGTATATATAACTTAGAATGTACTATAAAAACTTTTTTGATATTTAATATTTTTCAGATCTTCATCAATTACCAAAATAATCATTCAAATGAAGTACCATCATTTGAAATAAACCCCACTCCTCATATCTGTTATCTTTATTGTCACAAAGAAATCTTTGTAGTAACTGTATCAGAGCCTAAATTCTAAAGTAGAAATTGTATTCTTTTCCTAACATGCCCGAAAGTTATTATTAGAATCAAGTAAGGCCACAAATAAAATTTCCCTTAACTTAATCTTATCAAAGAATTACAGAATTCTAGTATGTACAAGTAAACCAGAAATCTGTTCTCAAGAGGACATTAAGATCAATGATAAGAACTGCTGGTCAATTTAACATCTGACTGTGTTAATAGTCATAATTACAAATACTCTAACAGAGCATGGTCAAACCTTAATTTAAGGCACGGTAGTTCATTAACTGAATTAGAGTATATAACCTGCATACTTTATCTTTGGAATCAGGAATCTTAAGATTTTAGAATGACTTTATAGGCTGTCTTCTCTTTCAACCTCATGCTCAATGTAGGCAAGAAAAGGAATAAAATAAAATATATATTATTTTAAATACTAACAGTAAAAATTTAAATCCCTCCAAAATTAACTAACCCTTTGATTACTTTTTTTGAAATGAACTTTTGCCCCACTACTGTTTATATGATAGGATGTAGCATTTTCTTAGTCAGCCACATAAGTAAACATTATATGCGACTCTACAAATTACAGACCCAGCAATGTTGCGATTATTTGCTTAGTGAATACATCTTCAATTTCCCCTTTGGTCATTTAAAAATATCATCCAATGCCTCATTAAGGAAAAACAGTAAAAATTGGTGTTGAAATATGTATTCACTAAAATGTGGTAATTTGACTCAGTTAAAAATTCACTGTAAAGTGATTTATACCTATGCTGCCATAAACTTAACTTGAAAGAGTTTTAAGATTATTAATACTACAGCAATTGTTAATGTACTAAAGAATGTATACTATACTATGGAATTTGCTAAAATACGGTAGCTAGAAAATTTGAAAAGCTGAATATTTACTGTGATTTATAACGTAAGTAATGCTAACAGAATACTGGAAACACTGTTTTTATAGTTTTTCTGAATCACTGAAATTTAATGGACAACAGGAAATAGTCTTAGCTCACTAATTTTGGGGGAACAGAATAAAAAGGGGTCTCATACTGACAGCAATTTTTAGGTGAAGTCTCACCTATGGGTTGGAGATCCTGAATAACAGCTAAAAAACTTAAAATAACAAGTGACACATTTACTTACTAGAGTTGGTGATTACCCATGTAAAAAAAAGTAACCAAGTTCTATAATAAGATCTTAAAGTAGAAAATTTGAAATGATAAATTATATTCTTTTCCTTACATTGTTTATCTCAACTTGAAACTAGAAACTATGAAGTTATGTGGTTTTTCCTAATAAAACAGTAGTGTTTTTCATTCTGCCTTTAACAGAAATTAAAGCCTTATACAAGAGAATCACAAAACATTGTAAATCAGATTATAATGTAAAAACCCACTCATTTAATAGATTTTATTTTGTTTATGATGATATATAATGGGTAAGATATAAGAAAACAATGTATTAAATGTTTTTAAATAATAAAGACTCAAACACTTTCTACAGGAAATAGATTCTAGTCAATCTTCAGGGCTACTAAAAATTAAATGTTAAAAATGTCTATTGGTTTGGTAAACTCTCCTGTATATCAAAATGAACCTTCCATGAATTTATGAAATTGCTATATAATACACTTATGATTGATATGACCATAAAACAATCTAAGTTGTTCTAATTTTGTCAGTGTTTTCAGCAACTTTCCCCAAATAATGCAGTATCGAGATTTCCTAATACAGACACAAGAGGGCAGATCTACATTAAATAATGAATTTCTTATTACCTAGAAAGTATTTTCCTTTGAGTATTTTCGAGTCTTCTGGCATAGTGAGAAAATGATAAATCTTTAAACGGAAACCTACTTTCTATAGTATCAGCACACTTCAAAATGTCTAAAACTCATATACTTTTATCTGTTAGAAAAGCTAACAGATAAAAAGTCAAATACAGTATTAATTTTTTAACAACGTGTCATGTTATCACAGTGTCTGTATTTTTCAATGCATACTTAACAGCATCTTAAGGAGGAGGAGACAAAATGGTGTAAAAATAAAAGATTATTTTAATCTTTTATTAATCTTCTAATAAAGATTAGAAAATTTATTTTCGGAGAATGTTACAATACTTAAAAAATGCTTTATATTAAAAATGCTTTACATTAGAAATAACTCATTCAAAAAAAGAAATAAAAATTCATTCTGATGTTAAACAAAAACCAAGTTGTTTGACTGTGAAAATTATTACTATTAAATTTTGTAGTTTTTGTTTTATATAAGAGAAACTGTTCAGTAAAATTGTTGCAGCCATTTGGTACAAGTATCTTGACTGATCAAGCATATCTATGATATAAACAATGTCAAAAATTTATCTTCTTTTTAATGACCTCAGCCCAGAACTTACAAACACCCTAAGAAATATAAGAAACAAGAGGGTAAACAACCACTTCCTCACTGCTGTGTGGGAGAGCCATCTTGAGCTTAAAGGATTCCAGTGGATACCATTATGTGCCCTTATACACTTCCCTTACTATCCATCACCCCTACCCCACCAAAAAAAGTACAAGGACATAGCAAGAAATATATTCTTTCCAAAGAAAAGATAATACTTGTTTATTTTCAAACAAGTCAGATAGCTTTTGAAGAAGGTGGGAGAAGAGGGATGATGCTGAACAGAAGAAAGAACCGAAGACAGTGGTGGACATTGCACTTGAAGACCTATTGTCTTCATTCACACAGGAACAACACTACTATACTACCAGCACTGTGTGCTTTAATGGGAAACTATGGTAGAAGGAACACCATGTACATAAAAGTTAGGCTTTCTCAATAATTACTGCGACTGAGGCCTAAAAAGAACAAAAATTCCACAGTACAACATTAACTTTTTGAGGGAGAAAAGGGAGTTTAGACAAGACTGCTTTAGAGCAAACACTCTTGAGAGTTATGAAGTTCTACATAAATCTATGATGGTATTAAGATTGTGACTCTCAGCCAAATTCCTTAGTTGCAAAGTTGTTTTTGTCATTTTGAGAGTTTAACAGTTGTGCCTGAAAAATCACATATGTTCTCACAATTTATCAGATAAGTTCATCTTTATTAAGACTTTTCCCTTTATGTAAAAATTAAACTGAAAGAAAGCCATTTTTTTTTCAAAGAAAGAATAAAGGAACCACTAAGAGTACTTTTAAAATAAAGATCTTATTTGGACAATATCTAAGATTTTAAAATTTTTTGTAATAGTCTAAGAAGGAAATTAGAAGTAGTCCTTTAAATACTGCAATTGTAAATTTTCTTTACCTGGTTTCACCTTTCCACTTAAAAAAAAAAAAGCACTGTGAAGGGCCCCTCCCAAAGAAGGTTAAGTTAGAAAGTAGAATTTTTTTCATGCAATTCGCAATTTTTGTTCATTACTACCCTTTTTTTCTACACTTACCACTGGGAAGAATATTTAAACCAAGTTTTACACAATGCACCCTCTCTACATCGATTTAATATTAAAGAAAACTTTTTTGAAGCAAAAGTTCCTTCAAGCAGTATGAAAATATTTTGTACCTATTCTTTATATTCACCCAATATTCTGACTTTATCATTTTATTGTGGTACCTATTTCAGGCTGGAGCAGAACACTCTGCCCCCTCTGACAACTCCAATTAGGCATAAAAATACCAGGTGGAAAAACAACTACCTGATCCCTGTTTTCCTATAATCATGCGCATTTGAGATCTAAAATATGGTAATATTTGAAAAATTAGCATTGCTATCTTTAAATCACTTGAACAAACAACACAGATCTGGTTAAGTTGATCTTTTCTAATTTGTAATTCAGACATCATAATGATGCTGTCTGGTTATTTGGTTTAAATATACTTAATAAAGGTATAAGCACTGTGTCCAAAAAAAGGAGTCAAAGTAGGCACATGGGTAGGTTAAGGGTTTTCCTATGAATATGGCATAGGTTGTACATGCGTTTCGATACTGTATAAGAGATTTATTTACAGGTTCCTGGATTTCCTTTTCCTTTCATAAAATAATCTGTATTGCTTTTTATTAAGGGTAAAAATGAATCGCAATTTGAAATTTTTATTCTAGAAGTTTCGTAAGTTTGAAAGAATATGTTTCAGAAAATTTTAATTAAAAAATGGATGACAGGACTTAAAAAACAACTCTACAGATATTAGTTTTCCAGTTATAATGAGCTGTAGAAAAGTATCAGGATAAAAACATTTATAAATCTAGAATATTACACATTTACATGGTACCTTAGCAGATACAAACTGTTAAAGTAATATCATAAAATGCTTTCTAAAACTAACAAAAGAACCTGACACTCCATTTATCTTTAAAAAGTAAACATATCTGTTTTTTTAGGCCTCAACACGTAACATTACAAAACTTTTATAAATCACTTCAGTTCCACCTTCTCATCATACAGATGAAGCTCCAAAGATATCACAATAATTCAGGTTCTGAAACTGAAAAGAACTGGAAATAAATTCAAAGCTCATACTCCCAAGCTAATGTTCTATCATTCCAGCTCCTCTGTTTCCATTTAAATTTCCTTAGATTACATGTTTTGCTTTATCTCTAAGTCCATTTAACAAATGAGTAGGAAGTAATAACCACTTAGGTACAAGGCTTAATGTTTTTCATGTTAATTAGTCTCAAATGCTTTTATTTTACCTATGCAATAGTTTTCAGGTTTATAGTATTTACGCTTATTAACCTGCAGAGGAAGGAAAAGGAAAACAATCGGTATCTGTGAACAACACCCAGTCATATGCTCACTGCACGTATGCTACCATGCCCAGAATGTCCACTGGGGGGAAGCAAGCACTAGATTTTGGGCCTTACCTGAACTGGTGTTTCACTTTCTTGTCGAAACTCTTCAATTTGCTGCTGCTGCTGCCAAGGAGCTAAACTGAAAGTGTCATCTGTCGTTCTGCTTTCCAAAGGATTTGTCCGCAACTGCTCTGTAAGCCACATCTGTGTCCTCACAGAAGGCTGAATGGGAACTCCACTGACTGCCTGCTGACCAAGCATTAAATATTTCGGAAGTTCTAAAGTCTCTGAGTTTGTCATACTGGGCTTGCTTTCAGGTAAGGCACTGTATGTCATGTCTACAGTCTGTCTTCTAAGATTGGAGGAACAAGTTCTAAAGTCCTCTTTGTTATAGCTCTCAAATTTGTATTTGTAGTCCAGTATTGATGACCGTTTTTTACTTAGTTCCTTGTCCTCAAGCTTAAGCATCTCCATACTATCATGTAAGCAGCTAGACCCAACTGTTCTCCGTTGTGATGGTAAAGTCTTGCCTCTCTCTATCTTTTCCAAACCACTCCTTGACTCTTCTGTGTGCACAATGCCACCCTGGCTACAGTTACCTGGGGCACTGAGTTTGGATAAAGATGACCATTTCCGGAGAGGCCGTAAGTCCTTCATGTCTAATGGTGAGTCCTGCTCCCCCCTATTGTGGTTCCCCAAGGTTTGCATGAGGCTTGTACTCCATTTTGACCCATCTGATGTCAGTGCTTCCCTGTGTTTGGAAACTGAAGCGCTGGAGTTGGACGGCATGACATGAGCAGTAGGAAGAGTAATCAATGATCGACTAGGCTTGAAAGATAAAGTGCCACTTGATGTTGAATGATCTGCAAAGAGAAATGAATGCCAAATTAATGGGGGAGGGTAGGCAAAATGCCAGGCAAAATCTGAACATGGTCTCTAGCACATTTTTCAGAATTATTTTATCAACATGAGGAATTTTTATACTATTCTTTAAGTTTTTCTGAAACAAATCAAACATACTTTCGAACATGTATTGCCTAAAAATGAACAAATGGCCATTTGCCATCAAATTAACAGATAAAAAATTATGAGAAACAGGCTTAGATCCACCCTATTAAATAGAAGTATTTTGCTTTTAAAAAAAATGTAAAAATTTATTTCCTTACAAAGAGATCTTACTGATCAAAAATGTTATTTTTCTGTTTTTCCTGAACTGTGGGAATCTATAGCAAATCTGAACATTTCAACAATTCTCTAAACTCTTACATTCCCAGTCTCCCTTAATGGCACTATCAGTAATCTATTTCCCAAGTTAGAAATCTTGGTATCTACAACGATCCCTATCTTTCTCTGTACATTCATTAAATTCCCAAATTAAAAATTTTTACTTGTAAAATGATTACAGTTATTGACTTATTAGAGGTCTCTACATCACCATTTTCTATCCACAGGAAAAGTTTTAGTAGGCCCAATGGAAACTCAAAAGATAAATAAGGGCTTCCATGGTCAATGAAGAGGTCATCAAGAGCCAAACTGTCATTAAATACAACAAATCAAAATAAAAGACTATAAATTTTTTTAAGTTAATAGCTTTTCCTTTCAATAGCATTGGGAAATTGTATTTGCCTCCATTCGGTTTTAGGCCTCCAGTCACACTTAAAATAGTAACCAGAGTTCACCTTTTGCAGTCCTCAAAAATATTAAAGCTCATTTTTTTAAAAGCTGTGATAAGGGGAGGCAAGAAGGGTGAACATAACTGGTACACCCTCATGTGCTTTCCCCGGCCTGAACTTCATGAATCATTATCACTGCTTGTTTCACAGGATAAACATAGCATTTCAGGTCATTTAGGGTTAAACATGCACTATATTTTATTTCCAATATCAAATATATTTAGGATTTTAAATTCTGTCATGTCATTTGTGAGTTTGTACCTTGAGGAAAAAAAATCAAAGAAATTAACTTGGAAAATTATTCTCATTTTTGTCAGAGAACATCCGGAAAGGAGACAGCAATTTGAAGTGGCAAGGTAGGGGAGAAGAGTGAAAGGCAATTTTCAGTGTATTCTATATCTCTACATCTCTGATTACTGTTTGACCTCCACTGAAATATATTAACTATTACTTACTGATTTTTTTTTTTTGAAGATTTATTTATTTGCACAAAGAGCTCGGGTGCAGGTCAGAGGTGCAAGGGCTATGAGAGGATTCACCAGAGACAGAGTGAGGAGCAGAACAGGCAGACTGACAAGTACATTACTGAGGGGAGCAATGGGAGGGTCAGGAGAAATCTGCAGTGCATGTGGTCACCTCCCTGGCTGGGAATCGAACTCATGCTGAAGTGGCTTTAGCTTCTTAGTGCTGTGCTTTAACCCATTGCACCACCAGGGATGGCCCTATTTACTGATTTTTATATTGTTTTTAAAAAATGAGAAAAAAAATACTGAGAAAGTCAATAGAAAATTCATTAGGAAAACAAGTCAGATAGACTAATTAAAAAAAAAAATGGAATTTTGGTAGACTTTTGGCCAGAATCTATTCACTTGGAGATAAAAAGCTAAAACCTTTAGGAATGGAGGAATATAAGCAGAAATACATTAGTAGATTTATCATAGTCAAAAGCTTTCCCTCAGCTTCTGCTGAACCTTTTCTACTCAGAAAAATTCCCACATTGTAAGCCTAATCTAGCAAAAGGTAGTTAGTCCTCAAAATTTCCTAGGTACCATGTAAATATGATGCAGATATTCAGAAGCACCTGCACAAGACTTTAGTTTGGAAATGAGTCACCTGAGGAAAAGGGCTCTGTGTGGAGTTACCATTTTTGGCTGGGGCAAGCAACAGCAGAGGCATCATTCTCCAAAAGGTCAGCAGCAGAGAAAGCAAAATTAAGTTCCTGCCCAGAAGAAGCAGCTAGGCAGTTGGTAGCTTCCTCCAGAGCTGCTGGCGCCAAGAGTAACAGTTCTCAGAGTTTATCTGATGCATGTTTACCTAGAAACTTAAACTTGGTTCTCTGAACCTCCTCAAAGTTTCTGTGAGGTACCAAACACCTTTAAACTCTTCATCTATTCAGTCAGCCAGTGAGCTGCTTCTGCTGACTAAAACATTAATTGATCCAAGTATGAATCCACAAGAATAAGGCTCCAAAGAAGAAAAACAAACTTTCCTGTTTATCTGCAGGGTGAAAAAGTTCCCCCGAATATCTTGAAAGGTAGCGATGAAACTGCATCGTGCAAATAATAAAACAATCTGCTAAAGAAAAAAACCTGGCCTTCACTTAGCATGTAACATAGTAGCAGAAAAGTATTCAAAGGAATAATAGGATCAAAACTGTATGCCCAATGTTTAAAGTATATTAAAGCAAAATGAATGGCAATAGAAAGGTAACAGAAGACCATGGTGATCAAAGGGAGAAGGAAAAAGGAAGGATGTGCTACTAAAGGCAAGTTCTAAAATGTCCCAAAAAGTCTAACAGTTGTGCTAATGTACTACAGCATTTTAGCTATTTTTATATGGACATATTTATTTCTTTTTAAAAAAATCAATTCTTTAGACTAACGATTTTAAGGCAAACAGAAGATGAGTTTTATACCTAATTAGAAATTTTCAGTTTTTTACATTTAACATTTCTAGTAACATTTCTGGTATAGTGTAAAGATTAAATGTACTGTTAGTCAGCCTTTTTAGATTAAAATCTTGGGTCTATCCCTAGTAGTTGTAAGTGCTCAAACAGGTTATTACTCCTAAGCATGAGTTACCTCAACCAAAAATTGAAATGACAACAGTGAGGATTCAGTGAAATATATATAAAGGACTCTGAAGAATTCCTGGCATAAAACCAAATTATTAGTTATTATTACACTAATGAAAAGGCTAAAAGTAAATGTCATCTTGAGTGTAACAAAAAAGGCTAAATATCCATACTATACAAAGAGCTCCAACAAATAATTAGCAGCAACCTAATTTTAAAAAGGCAAATCAGTAATCAAATCATCACACAAGACAAAATGTTTTTAAAATGCTCAAATACACTAATTAGAAAAGTGTATTTCCTCTCATATTTATAACATTATTAACAACTGCTAATAAAGGGAACATAAATTGTTAAAGCTGTTGGAGAATGGGTGTACTTTTGTTTAAAACATGCAAATACGTTTGTAAATAGAATATCCATGCATAAGTGTATATAAGTGTGTGTGTGTGTGTATAGATATATATATATATCTTTTCACAAGCAGAGAAAAGATCTTGAGGAATATACCTAAAACTTAGTAAGTGAAGGTAACTCTTGCATAGTAAAAGAGGGATAAAGGAGGCCCTCCCTGGTGGCACGCGGGTTGAAGCACTGCACTAAGGAGCTGAAACCACTTCCGCATGAGTTCGATTCCCGCCTGGCCCGGAGGAGATCCACATGGTGTGGCAGAACTCTCCTGACCTGCCCGCTGCTCCCCTCAGCAGTGTACTTCATCGATCTGCCTGTTCTGCTCCCCACTCTGTCTCTCGTGAAGTCTTTTGCAGCCCCTGAGTCTCTGGCCTGTACCCCAGTTTTGTATGCACAAATAAATAAATCTTAAAAAAAAAAAAAAAAGAGGGATAAAGGAGAAAGATCTTTGACATTTTATTATATGTTATTTTAATTTCTTTTCAAGTAATATAACTTTACTCCTTACTCAAACTTATGCAAAGTTTGTATTTAAAAAAAAAAACTGCTTTTTACTGTAACCACAAGGAGTTTTAAATATTTCAAAGGACACTATTACTAAAGTATAAATAATATATCAAGTGACTGTCTCACTTTTCATGTCACAACTGAAACAGAGATCAGACACAACCAGTGTTGGCTGCCACATTATGTCTTGATAATATGCTCCTTTCCTGTCTACTTTTTCAAGTTTAATACTCCCCAACTGTATAGAAAAATCAAAAATTGATGACAAAGATAAACTGTATGTCACTCTAGTATTTACTACAGAAATTCTGAAAGTAGCTGATATATGCTGTCCACAAAACATTACAATGTCCAGAGCATTTACTCCTAAAAGTTACTTAGCAAAAGTTCTCAAACTTTAGCAACAAGAAATGTGACCTGGGGTCTGGAGTAGAGATGAGGTCCAGAAATGTCATTTTTTAATAAATGTTTCTGCTGTTCTGTTCTCTACCCTCCTCCTGAGTCTGACTCTAGTCCTGAAGCCTTTAAGTATCCCTAAAATGAACTATCACCAGCATCTGAGCACTTGTACAAAACAGATTTAGTCTAGTATTCAGAACTTACCACTGTCAAAACTGAAGATTAAGGTGTAGTTATACAAGTACACATGCACACATCTGCACAACAAACATGAACTAATTAACAAGGATTAAATACCTGATACTATGACACTGTATCTGAGTTGAGTACAGAAAATAATTTTAATATTAAAAATGTTATCTTACCCTAATAAGACATTCAATCATAAATAAATGTGCTTTTTATACTATCTAGTTGTTGTCACAAATTCCAAATGCAAGTTATTATGATGGTTATCTAGTTCACCCATAAGTTGCAGTAAAATCTGAAAGCAGCAGAGGGCGGTCCTTTTAAAATCCAGAGGACATGGACCATACATTCATAGTTTATCAATAGAAGAGTTAATGGTTTCAAACAGATTTCAACTGGTAAGAGAAGGCACCATTATAACCTGATAATGCACCTGAATTACATTTTTGAATTCTGAATAAAATCCCTACTTCTGTTTTACTGTCATATTAATTCTTATCCAGCAAGAGGAGTCTATTGATTCTATGTTCACATTGGTTAAGAACAGTGAGGCTCCTGTGCCCTCTCTCTTGCAAGATCTTCCTCCCCTCCTCCCCTAGGTCTTCTTATA